AAGCAACGGTGCATCTGTGCGTTTGGTATGTGAGCCACCATTCCTCGTCCCGAAAGCAAGGGGACATGTGCAAACGTCCCCAGAGACAGGGGACAAATGACAAAATGACCCCAAGGGCAGGGGACAAATGACAAAATGTCCCCAAATAAAGGGGACAACTGACTACTGAATCGTGCAATTGGTGGATGCTTCCTGCACCTCTTGTGAAACTCGGTTTCTTCGGCTTTGCAATTCAAACTCAACGGCAACGAACATAGGAGACAAGTCCAAACTCATGATGCCCATGTTTTCGTTATACTTGGTAAAGTCCATCCAGAAGCTCTGCATTATGGTGTTCAAGGCATTGTCGTGAGCCCTCTGCACTTTGTCCTTGCTCAGGTCAAACATGGACAAGCTCGGAAACATCAAGGGCAAAGAACGAAGAAGTTTCTCCTCTGCTGTCCAGTTCTTACCTTTGTCGCTCCTCCTCGTGCCTAGGATGCCTTTGAGCGACTCCATGTCGGAGGTGGCAACCTGCTTCAAGCACAAGCCCAGGAAGGCATCGGAGGCACGCGACTTGACCATGAGAAACTCCGACAGTTTGCCCTCCTGCTCGGCGAGAAAGGTTTTGATGGACTGGGGCACCATGGCTTCGTTGGCTTCTGTGGCTTCCTCAGGACTTTCACCAAGACACATCTTCTCTACCTTCTTCTTCAACTTGGACAATGCCTCAGGACGTTTCAAGTATCCCTTCATGACGCCACCTCCACGAAGTCCGCTCAGGGACACCTTCATGTCAATGTCCAGAACGTGGTTGGGCACCGCCTTGTCTGTCTCATACTCCTCGTTGATGAAGTGGACTGTGAAGACGCTGAGATTAACGTGCTTCTTCTCCTCCATATAGCGACTGACCAACCATTTCATCTGACCCGTGTGGATGCCCTCGCCCTCCATCACAAGCGTCAGAACCTCATGCCTACCAATCTCCACCTCAACGATTAGATTGATTGGTCGCTCCAAACCGTAGTGGTCTCGGGTCTGGAACGTGAACTGCAGGTCAACGCCAACTATTGTGGTCGCCGTGAGACCCTCCTTTTCACAGAAAAGAAGGATGGCACCCATCGTCATGTCGTCGTCGAAGCCCTCGAAGACACCACCTTCTGGATGAAGAAGTTCTACTTCAAACTTGAACCAGCTTGTGCCTGTACGTGCCTCCATCAAGACCTTCAGCGTCAGCATGTCCTCAAACTTGCCCTTCAACTGATAGACCTCGTCATCAACCATCACGATGAAAGGTCTGTCATCATCACCTCCATCGCTGTCTCCTTCATCATCGCCACCGTCATCACCGGGTTCGTCTCCACGGTCATCTCCATGACGAAGCGACTCAGACGGTTCTCCCTGCTGTTGCCTCTCCATCTTGAGCTCCGCAGTCGCGATGAAGTCCTTGAGTTGCTTGTTCTCATTCGTCAGGCTTTCAATCTGAGCCCTCCATCGGTGAGTCCAATGAGGAGCTTTCTCCTTCTTGGTCTTGGACGTTGCGAGGCGAGAGAGAGCCATTGCAAGGAGATGCGTCAAGCAACCTAATCGCTACTACCTACTCAAATCAAAGCCTCTCGGAAACAACTCATCGGTCAAATCAGGTCAAGCTCAGGCACAACTGCTGACAACAGGTTCAACGTGTGTCTCATTTTCAGCGTCTGGCATGGATGGATGCTCTGTTCAGGTCGGGTATCCAAAGCGAAGCAATCCAAGGCAAACGACCATGTACATATTTCTGATGACATGTGAATGCTTCGCCTTTGTTCCCTCCAGAGATTAGGCACAGGGTCAAGGACTTTCGTTGAAACAACTGTGAGTTGCATATGTATAAGCACATGACACGAAAGAACACTTTACCTTGACACCTGAGAGATGCTTCATGAAGGAACTAACTCAGTCCTCGTCATCATCAGTATCGTCATCGTTGTCCTGGTCCTCGTCTGTGTCCTCGGCCTCGTCCTGCTCGTTCGGCATCTGGATGGGATGGGGGAAGTTACCCTCATTGAACTGACTCATGTACATGACGCCAACGAACGGGTTCTGCAACAGGTGCTCGGCGTTGTACAAGAAGGTCCTGGCGTGTTTTGTCAAGTGCATCTGGCGAATATCCACCATGGCGAGGTCCCTCACGGTCTTGGTCTTTGTCTTTGTCTTTGCACCATCCAAGGACACCTCCTGGTAGAAGCCCAACTTCTGGCACTTCTTCAAAATCACCCTCCTCAGCTTGCCGTAGGTCTTGCCCTTATCAACACGGACGGAGTGGATACTCCCATCTGGGGCAACGAAGCGAACCACCACCATGCCAGAGCGTTTGGCCCTGTTCATCTCTTCCTTGGCCTCCTTGTCCGCCTGCTTCTGTGCAACAGTTGCCCTCTTTTTTGCTTCGACATCACGCTTCTTCTTCTCATTGAGAAGGGCATCGTTCATCGCCTTGTGGCTGAGCATCAACTTCTCCATACTGGAAGTCAAATCCGCAAGGGTGTCATCGGATGACCCCGCGACCTGCTCCTGCCAGTTTCCCGACAGCAACAACTGAAGACCAACATCCACCTCTTCCTCTGACTCGGGCGTTTGCTCTTGCGCAGGTACATGCATCTGTTCATCCACTTCATCGTGGGGTGGCTCACGGTAACCACCAGTTGATGCCTTTGCCTTCGGGTTGGACTTCGGCGCCATCTTATGACAAGGAGGACGGAAGCGTGAGGAATGGACACTACCAGAAACAACAGCCAAATGCTTCAAACACTGTTTTGATATCTGACAGTCGTCAATGTGCTGTCAACCTCACGACATGAATGATACATGAGAAGAATGCGCAACTGAAAAAAACCTTGAAATCGACCAACGCCCCAGAACTTGATAACTACTAAAAGGGCTACCTCTTTCAAATGAAAAAAATGTTTGCCCCTAGCCCAACAATGAACAAGGCGACAATTTACCCAAATGATTACCTTAACGAAAACGATAAATAAGCTCCCCAAAAACCCTCTATTAAAAACGAATAAGGGGAAACACAGATTTGAGATGAACATAAAAACCATAACAGGCAACCATCAACAGGCCACCCCCCAGGCCCCCTACTTTTACCATTTTTTGGGGGGGGGAACCCCGCTCCACCTGGTACCCGCAAACAATATGTGGTTTAGATTGGGGGGTTTGGATTGGGGAACTCAGAGAACGAGGGCAAGCCTGGCAATTCCCCCAGGCGCTGGACATCCAGAATCTGAATCTTCAAGAAGAGCAACTTGGCGGGGGATGACACCCATGCCCGGGAGAGGCAGCCCTTTGTGGTTTTGAAGGGAAACCAAAAGGACAACCCACCCAGTTTGCGGGTCCCCGAAAAGAAGACAATGCCATTTTGTGGGGGTCCCAGGCCATGTGGCGCATTTCCATTGCCAGTTCGGTTTCTTGTTCTGGGAGATTGGTCAGAAAGTTGAAGGCTTCTTTCCCCCGTCCTTCCGGGGGGAAAAAAGCGGAAAAAAGGAAAAAAGAAAAGAAAACAACGGATCCCCAACTTTACCTATGCGTGCCATGGTCGAAAGACCTGCTAACTTGGTGTCATGCATGATCATGGGATGTTAGACAACCGCGATGGGATTTTTGGTATTGGGCAGCATGGTGATCAGAAGGGACCGCGGCGACTTGTGTGCCATGGCCTTTGGCCCTGGCCCTCCAGCCCTCCACGCCGCGCCGGGCGCCGCGCCCGGCGCCGCGCGCCGCGCGCCGCGCGCCGCGCGCCGCGGGCTCAGGAAGCGGGACTTGGAGATGCGGGTTTCGGCGGCGCAGTTCGCCTTGAAGCACTGGCTACAAAGAGACAAGGCGGGACCCATGAAGGCCATGGGAAGACACCCGGCGTGTTTTTGTTTGGCGCGAAGGGAAGGTTTTCTGTTTGGTCATGTCCCAGGGAAACTTTAAAGGTGAAGTTGGAAGCGGTTCACTGTGTTGGCAGCGACGTGCCTGCAGGCTGCACAGCCAACTGTGGGCTGCGCCTTTTGTCAGCACTGCCAACTGCGCTCCTGAGCAAACTGCTCGGATCATGTTCATAGTGGCTGCAGTTAGCCCAGCATGTAGTCCCCTGCAAGTTCACGTTGGAACCCACACAGTTTTTGAAAGGGTACCCCGCAAGGGATCTTCCTATGAAGTTGATGGCTTCTGGGGTTCTATCGCAATCTGCAGGGGAGTAATTCAGCACATAGGGGTCCGCCGTTTGCAGTGGAAGCACTTGCAAAGCTGAAGCCAAAGCTGCTTCATGGGGTGCTAGCGAGCGCGCAAAGGGTGAAGCCAGGGCTTGCTTGATGCCGTGCACGTGCTTGCACTGAGAGGGTTCCGTTGATTCCCCGGCAGGGTTTCCTCCATTTCCGAACAAATGGAACCACGCGCTGCAACATGCCATGACATGCCGGCTGCGCTCCAGTCAGTTGTACAAGTAGGACATGCCCATCCACCGAGAAGCTAGTCCGAGCACGAGCAAGATCAGATGTTTTTGGGAGTTCCAGCAGCCTTTCGATCTGCAATACTTTTGCAGACAGTTCGCCAGCTTTTAGATGCAGCGGGAGTCTGGTAACATATCAGAAGACTGATTGTCCAACTGTCTCACTTTGCATGCAGGCGGGATACTGTGATCGCTGGATTGCTGCCCGTGGTATTGCAGATGAATGAGTAGCCATGAAAAACCCGGGAGGGGGGGGGGGGTGAGGGGGGCAACCTCAATGACTGCATAGGTGCGAAAGCTTCGGAATTTCTGCACTGCAACTCCAGAGTTTTGATTTTCTTTTGATTTCCCTTTACTACAACACCCCTTTCGGGTCCCTTCAAAAGAAGCACACGCGGCCGTATCTTATTTTAGGAATCGGACCCCCCTCCCAAGATGGACATTTTCGGTTGTTCTCTGCGTCCTTTACAACCACACGCATGGGGGTTCTCCTTAAAAGAGACACCCCCTCCATGTCTCATTTCTTGGCGCGTTTTGCCTCAGGAGAATGCGGGATGCGGTGAGCCCTGAGGACTCCGAGAGAGGTTGGTGGGTCTAGCGAGCTCCTTCTCGGTGAGCTTGCTTGTTCAGATGGGGGTTGACCAATGGTTGAGCTGTTGTCTTTCTTTTGTTTATGAGTAAATGTGACATATCAGCCATGTACCAGGGTCGCGACTTTTCCAACTGGCCATGTTTGGGTCACCCTCGATGGCCAGGAGCCGCTCTCTCTGCGGCGGCTCCGCGAATCGCTGTCGCAGCTTTGGCCGCATTCGCATCGGTAATAAGCAACGTTTTCAGCTCGGTGCTGGGAAACCAAGAGGAACACCTTTTCTTTTGGGGGGGCTCGGCCGTGCCCTCATTTTTGACAGAATCACCATGTCTACTCCTCGACACACAAGGAATTTGGTTCTTTCTCTTTTAAACCACTATATAAGGGGTTCCCCTGTACAAAGACACACCCATATTGCTGGATCCGCTGGGGTGTGGGTATCGAAGTGTGGGAAGTTGGTCTAATCGCAGCTGCCACCAGCCCAGAGAGCATAAAAGCCAACACACCCATACAAGGATCGAGGCTACCGCGGCTTCACCTTGGTTTAAACGGGAATGCCGTTCGTCAGCAGAGGAGCTTGGAGAGGCTTGAGCGGCAACGCCATGCGCGGGGCTTCCCAGTGGTGCGTAACTCGGCTTCTTTTTGAGTTGGTACCCCTTTTTTGGGGGGTTTTAAAGGGAAACCGCGAGGAAAGCCACATTTGTTTTTCTCTTTTAAGGGGAACCCTGTGTTTTTTCTTGGGTTTTAAAGGCATCCAAGAGGAAACCACCGTTTTTTTTTGGCGGGAGGCTTTGGATCTTCACGGAACTGTTTGGTGTCCTTTTCGGTTTTCAGTTTGGATGATGAGGAACATGACCCCTGGAGTTGATTCCATTGATGGTTCTTTTGTGGGCTTTCTGAATGGAATTGGAGACCCCCCACCCTCCTCGCTCAAGGTGGGGGGTCAGTTTGGTGCAAAATAGATGAGTTCTGCGAGACTCAAACTGGGCTTCGAGTCATGCAAATGGCATGGGAGTTTTCCAAAAGGAGACCTACAGAACCTCTCTAAAGTGCATCTTTCTTTCTTTTTGCAAAGGTCCTGTGGTCACAAGACAAAAACATGAATCCCAGAATAAGGGATGCCGAAAGGGCGAATGGAACGTCAGATTTCTCTGTGTGCGTTGCTTTTGCGGATGTTTTTCTGAAGGGGAAAGCCAAGGGAAGAACTAGGACATATGAGCAAACCTAGGCTGCGTGATCGGCTTGAGCCGTCAGGCTGGCTGGGGGTTGGGGGAGCCTTAGTAGGAAGGTAGCCTCAATCAACATGGCACCTGACAGGGGTCCCTTTAAAAGGAAAATGGTCTTTCAGGACCCCCCCCTGTCAGGTTCTATGTTAATTGGTGGGGTATCGGATCGTGTTGGAAGGGGGTATGCTTGCATAACAAGCACAAAGGATGGCCAACGCCTCTCCGCAGCTTCAGACTGTGACTACATCGGGGTGGTTTTCGTGAACTAGGTCAAACTCCTGCTGATTTTTGGGAGTTGTTGGGGGACAGTGATCAACACCTCAGATGGTTGGGAGGACTCCTGAATGTGCGGAGGATTCACAAAACCATTGTCAAGATCTACCAAGGGAGCCAGAACCCTGCACCATACCATACGCCTTGAGCATGCACACGGGTCTGTTTCAAGATAAGGAGCCCCGTGTCGCGTTTTTTTCAAGCGACACCAAACGAAGCCATTTCGGATTCGCTTTTGAGAACCCCCGTGGGCCAGGTTTGGGCGGCTCCATGGAGAACTTCCCGAGTGAAGGCGCGCCGCCGGCAGCGAGTGACCCGCCCCATCCAAAACCATGGAACCTTACAGGGGGTTCTGGAAGACCATGTTCCTTTCACAGGGTGCCTGTGTGTCTGTGTGTCTCTGTGTGTGTGTGTGTGTGTGTCTGTACGTCTGTGTCCCATGTGTGTGTGTGTGTCTCTGTGTGTGTGTGTGTCTGTACGTCTGTGTCCCATGTGTGTGTGTGTGTGTGTCTCTGTGTGTCTCTGTGTGTCTCTGTGTGTCTGTCTGTCTGTCTGTCTGTCTGTCCGTCCGTCCGTCCGTCCGTCCGTCCGTCTGTCTGTCTGTCTGTCTGTCTGGCTGTCTGTCTGTCCATCTGTCTGTCTGTCTGTCTGTCTGTCTGTCCGTCTCCGTCCGTCCGTCCGTCCGTCTGTCTGTCTGTCTGTCTGTCTGTCTGTCTGTCTGTCTGTCTGTCTGTCTGTCTGTCTGTCTGTCTGTCTGTCTGTCTGTCTGTCTGTCTGTCTGTCTGTCTGTCTGTCTGTCTGTCTGTCTGTCTGTCTGTCTGTCTGTCTGTCTGTCTGTCTGTCTGTCTGTCTGTCTGTCTGTCTGTCTGTCTGTCTGTCTGTCTGTCTGTCTGTCTGTCTGTCTGTCTGTCTGTCTGTCTGTCTGTCTGTCTGTCTGTCTGTCTGTCTGTCTGTCTGTCTGTCTGTCTGTCTGTCTGTCTGTCTGTCTGTCTGTCTGTCTGTCTGTCTGTCTGTCTGTCTGTCTGTCTGTCTGTCTGTCTGTCTGTCTGTCTGTCTGTCTGTCTGTCTGTCTGTCTGTCTGTCTGTCTGTCTGTCTGTCTGTCTGTCTGTCTGTCTGTCTGTCTGTCTGTCTGTCTGTCTGTCTGTCTGTCTGTCTGTCTGTCTGTCTGTCTGTCTGTCTGTCTGTCTGTCTGTGTGCCTGGCCCCCTTTGTGGGTTCCTTGCAGGTGCGCATGTCAAAAGTGTATGATGTTTTGTTTAGGCCCAAGAACCCCCTCCCAAAATTGAGATTTCGCTTCCGGTTTCTCTTGAACAGCACCGCAAAAAAGGGGCACCGAGCCGCAGAAAGCGGCGAGCCACAGAGCCGTGGGTTTGGATCTTCGCCAGGTGAAAGAGGCCGCCACTCGCACGAGAGGCCGCCTTCCCTTGGCCGGGGTTCTGTTGGCCTTAGTGACAGTGGGTCATTTGGAGGTCATGGTAATAAATAAAAAACAATGTATATGTATATATATATATTATACATATAAAAGTGTATATACAATATATATATATATATATAAACATATATTGATATATTGATATTATGTTACTATATTATATTATATTTGTATATATGATCTAGGGCTGCAGGCGTGGAACTGGGTGGCGGTGGTGGCGGCGGTGGTGCTGGTTTAGGGTTGGTTTCTGGCTGGCGTAGGTTGGTTTAGGCGGTTGGTTCAGGGCTGGTTTAGGTGGAATTTGAAGTTTGGTTTATGCAAGTTTCAGCAGTGGTGTAGAGTTGGTTTGGGTGGGTTTAGGGCTCATTTAAGGTTGGTTTATCTGGAATCAGGCGCCAGACTTTTCCAGAAACTCTTGAATCCACCGCCCAGATGAATTTTCGGTCTTGGATCTACCTCGGTAGGGTTTTTGTCAGAAGAGGCAACAAGTATCCGTATTCGAGTGCATGCCCCAAAACTTCTAAGCCAGTAAAACAGCAACATTCTGGAGCCACTAGCCCAAAAGCAAGAAGCAAAAGAGTACACCACGTAAGCAATTTGAACAATAAATGTAAAAAGTCAAACTCTGGAGCCAAAGGCCCAATACTTTTAAAAAAAGGAAGCGCAAACACCACGCAAAAACACACATAATAAGAAAACAAAAACATGTTTCAGTCCATAGTTTGACTTCAGGGCCGGGGTCGAAGTATGTTGCTTATCATTTTTCTCATTTTTTTAAGCTTTTTTGGTTCAACTTCTTTTGAGCCTTTTTTTGCTCCGTGGCATGGGCTCCAGATTTGTTGAAGCATGCTTTTTCACGCCGGCTTTTTCGCTTTGTCACCTTTTGTTTGTTTGTCAAACTTTTGGGTCTTTGGCTCCATGTTTTTTTGTTAAAATACTTTTTACTTGTGGGTCATTGGCTGCAAAAGGTTTATTTTTTTTGTTTGGGCCAGTGGCTCCATTTGTTTTCCTCTTTTCTTTTTTTTCTCTCTCTCTCTCTCTTTTTCTTTTTCTTTTTTAAACGTTTTTACGTTTTTACTTTGGCTTCAATCTAGGTGCGTGTTTGCATCCTTTGACCAACCTCGTTCAAATAACCTCACTGACTGGTTGCTTGGTTTTGCTTAAAAACAAATCTGATTTCAAAGGGGAGGTGTTTTGCCAGGATTGCTGTTCCAACTTTCTAGTTAAGACGTACATAGAATTGAATTCGATTTGAACATATATTTCAAAAAGTCGAACTCTCAGTCTCAGAAGTAATTTAAAATGGCTTTGCTAAACCATGTGTTTAGTTGGATTTCTTATTTCAATATATGGTTTAGCAATGATTTCCTTTTGCAGGATATGTTTTTTTCTTTTTTCTTCTTCCTAAAACTATAATTTAAATGGACATTCAAAAGTGAACACGTCCTAATATAATTTATAGATGTACCGATGATTTAAACGGGATTTCCTTTTGAAAGAGTATGCTTAATTTGGTTTCTTAGTTCAAACTAGGTTCCCAGGATGTTTTTTGTTTTTGTATTTAGATCTTGTTAGAGTTGAAGAAGGACAGAGTTCTAGTACACGTTCAAATTTTAGCGGGAATTTCAGCAGGTTTCCTTTTCAAGCAAACTGTTTAGTTGGATTTGTTCTTTTGAAATGGATTTTGAAGAGGACTTCCTTGCTTAGGACCTTAGGATAGGCCGTTGCTGGTCAAGTCGCAAGGGGCAATCCAAATAAATCAGCTGCGCTCCATCTCCCAAATTGCCTTCAAACAGCAAAACGGTCGGCCATTTGAGAAGGGGGGTTGGCAGAACGGTCACGCATGTGAGGACTGAAAAATGGTGGTCCTAGAGGGGGTACATATATCTATATCTATATATATATATGTATATCTATATATATATATACACATATTCATATAATTGTCTAAGCATGTATAATTGAAACACCTTCTTGATAAAACCAATGGCCCAGGCGAGCAGATTCCCCTTTGCGACGTGGGGTGCTGAGATGGCCCAGTGGGTTTCAAGGCGTGAAGGCTGGGATGCTGGGAGCCCCCTTCTATCCATTTGACAAACCAAACCCGGGCTGAAGGTCAGTCAGGGATCCCAACAGATGGGTGCCTTGGGAGCATTGAAACAACAGGTTTTGATTGCGACTCATTTAGAGGGTCAATTTGAGGATGTCACTTTCATGGACCCAGATTTCGGCGCGAGACGGCGACACGAAACAAGCTTATGATTCCTTTTGCCGACTGCATGCCGACAGCAGCAGATTTTAGTTCCTTGCCACAAGTTGGCGCCTGCTGCAGCGTTATGTTCAAGACGGCGGGGTGTTCGTGAGAGAAGTCTTTGTCCACATCCAGCGGCACAGCGCTGTGGTGGCCGGCCTGGGGCGCTGCGACCTCGGCTCGGTTGCTTGAGCCACCATTGGAAAAGCAAACTCCTTTCAAGCTAAGATCCAGGCCATCCCGAGGTTGGTAAGGACACAGCTTCAAGAAAACGGTTGCTGAATTGAAGAGCCTTTCGGATTTGGACCGGTCAATGTTGACCCCATATCAAACAACCCCAGTTTATGAATAGGGTCCAAATGTGGTGATTCTTCACTAAACCCAGAAACACATCCCCCCTGTTATCACCATTAATGTAAACGTAAACCAATGTCTCCGGACACTGAGGATATGCCGCTCTTGCCGCATCTGCATTTTGGAGGCCGGGTGTTGAGTCCCATTCGCCCGTCTTTTCAAGACATGGGCAAAAATACAGGTTTAGGGTTGACACCACTTTCTTTTTAAACAAATAAGTACGAATAATTTTGAGCCACACATGGCTCGTCTCTTTTTGAAGGCTGGACCCCAAGAATGGCACAACGGTTTCCCTCTTGATTTCCCTTTCACAAGCATACCTACATTTTTTGGCTGCAACATGTGGTACAACCAACTCCTTCCCTTGAACTGGTCTCCCACCCCCCCATCTCAGTGCACGCGGACCCGCGTAGGCTCGTTCAGCAACAGCTGCTCGGCATATGTGAAAAGCTGGGCCTTTGAACAGGCCTTACATTCCACTTGGATGTCTTAAATGGGTGCGGTGGTTTTTCAGGTACCCCTTTTTGAGTATACTTTTTTGTCCCTGGAGCGAGGCATCGGTTTTCTGCGGCTTCTGCCGCCTTAGGCCAGATGCAAAGCCCCGGCTCCTTTGCCGGCCCTGAGATGATGGCGATGGGGCAAAAGAAGGACAAGAAGTTCAACTCGAAGGAGCTTTCCATTTCGCTCCAAAAGTCCGGAAATCCGGACCCCGACGGACGGATGATCTCTCAAAATCGGGGACTCGGGAAATGCATGGAAATCCAAAAGGATACCAAACTGGAGGAGTCCCTGATTTTGAGTGTCTGTTTTGTGTTGTGGACCTGCTTTTGGGGACATGGAAGGCAAATGAGCAGAAATTGGTCGACAACACAACGGATCGCAAACGAGCCAGCAAGTAAACAAAAATCCATGCTCCTTCCAGGTGTGTCTGTTTTGGGGGAATCCGTTTTGGTAATTTAGATTTAACAAGGCAACCAAACCCCCATTTTGAAGGGAAATTTGAGACAAAGCTACAAGCCAGGGTAAACAGTGTGAAATTGTGGCCATCTACTTGCAAGCTGTGCGTAATCATTTCCATTTTTTGAGGGCTCCCCCTGATTCGTGGTTTTAAGGGGGCACCCAAAATGAAAACAACAGTTTTTGTGCCATACTCGCAGAAAGCTGTGTGTGTGTGTGTGTGCGGAGTGACAGAATGCCCTGTCACCACCCTTTCGGTTTTTCAGCAGGGGGCTTGAGGCTTCTCATCAGGACTCAGGCCAACGAAGACGCCTGATGAGAAGTGTGATGCAATCCGGGACGCTGGATTGTGTACCTGCATCGGTTGTGCAATGTCCATTTGGCCCGTTGTTTCTCTCGCTGTGTGTGCTTCATGTTGAACCTTGCAACGTTTCGCAGCTAGACGGAAACCATGTGACTGCAAGCCGAACCTTCACCTACTCGAGACTCATCAGTTGTACTCGAGACTCATCAGATGTACTCGAAACTCATCAGTTGTACTCGAAAGATTAGCACTCTCCATCTGGAGTTCAAGTGTGTACACCCCATTCGTGGGGAATCCTCGGGTGTACCCATTGTGTGACCCCGGGCCGGCTCTGTCGGAAAATTTGACCTCAACGTTCTTATCATAGAACAGCGGAATTTCACATTTAACCAGGAACGAGGTTTCACTAAAGGGAAGTCAGCCGTCAGATCATAGAGACGTCTCACTAGTGCTGCTGATGGCTGCTGACTTGAACTTGCATTGACTTGCATTTTGTCGGACTCGTTCCTCTCAAGATTGTGGAGTTGCGGTTTTGAGTTTGTTGCGCCATCATGTCTCGACGTGATGATCGTGACAGATCTAGGACTCGGCGCAGACGTGATCGGAGTCCTTCCCCTCAAGCTCGTAAAGCACGCCGACGTGAACACAATGACAACCAGGTCTCGGAGGGCATGGATTGGAACAACCTGGTATCTTGGCAACACAATTCCGGCTACAACTCTGCCAACAATTTCCCGATGATGCCCACCAATTTTCAATCGACTCACAGCCCCACACAGCAATTCCAACACCCAGCGATCAACTACATGATGCCGATCCCTCCAGACCCCACGCCAACGAAGTTCATGCCACCCGTGATGCCACCACCGGTCACTACTCCCCAACCTGCACCGCCGCCTGGACCTCCTGCGGCTCTACCGGTTCGCCCTCAGAAAGCCTGGCTTACACCTTCGCCTGACTGGACACCTGGAGATGGCATGTTTGATGTCAATCAGCTCTACAACTTTAGCCTGCCCATGACCGTTGCCAACACTCCGCATGGCAACCTGCGCGACATGTCAGGCATGGATATTCGGGACGTTCGCCTGGTTCAGGTTATCCATTGGGGCCTCACCAACTGGCTACTCCGACCGTTCGCTCACGGCAGATTCGTGACGTGGGAAGGCTTTCGCACCCGCACCGAGGCCTTACTTTGGAGTACCTGTTCCAAACTACTACGACGATCACAGTCGCTCAACCTGCTCACCCTGGAAAAGGACCTTGCCAACTCGCTGGGTCTCAACATCGATGACTTCAATCAGCGGATCAAGGTTCATGACCATTTGGCCAGCTTGGTACTTCAATTTCTTCAGCAACACCACGCTCTCTCACACCTTCCACCCAGACAGATGACATGGTCAAGAAGTACAATGATCTAAATCGTGCGCATGAGCTGCTCCAGGCTCAGTATTCAGCATCGCTGCGCGCTTCGACCTCTCCCACGATGGCAAGCCAGAAAGATGATGCAGAGTTGGTTACACCGCCACCGGTCAACCACACACCATCCTCGTCACCTGCCAGCTCCCTTCCTACAGCCAGCGCAGCGGCCCTTGATGGCAAGTCGTTTGATAGCGCGGTGCAACCTCGGATCATTCAGTCTCTTCACGGAGTGTCGTCACCGCCGTCCAAGCCGGCGGCGTCACACTTGCTCACCATGCACAGCACGCCGGATGAAGTTGTCAAGTACTACACATGGACCAGTGACCAGCCTCGCCTTTATCTCAAGCAATCGCCCACAACCACGACTTTGGCGTCACTGGTCAAGTGGGCCAATCACCCGTCCCGGCTCAACGGCAACAAGTCATTAGATTCCATGGCGACGCAGCTCCTTCAAGCGCGTCAACGCATGCCGAAAGGCGACGCACCTACTCTGGGGGCGATGGCGGCTTCGTGGGGACTGGAGCCCGGCTATCTTACCAAGCTCACTGAGAAGGCATTGAGTCACCTCATCGTGACCGCTCGCCTACTCAGCGGATGAGCAGGCATCTTAACGACCTTCGTTCTCTTATGAGCCCGGAGCGGCAACCATGTCACGGATGAGTCAAGGTTAAAACTTGTCCGTCATCTTTCTGCGTTGCACCAGTTTGATCTTGTGCTTGATCGTTCTTGCATTGCCTTGTGTGTGATTGTCTGTGCAGCTTGTATCCATGTCGCCGCCTTATGGTAGATTTCATTGGTTGCATTTTCACCATGTTGGATGAGCTTCGCCGCTGTGGAATCTATGATGATGTTGCACAATGGCAGTCTCTGGACAACTTTTTACACTCGTTGACCATGTTCTCTACGTGCTGGCAATACTGCTTCCCTGGACTACCACCACCGTCGATACCAACTGATGAGTACGAATCAATCACACAACTACCGTGGTTGGGCCTCATTCTCGAAGTCTTAGTTGTGGTCCGGATTGCCCTTCAGATTCCGAATCACGCTATGTCACACTCTCAGCACACTGTGGCCAACAGGTATGAGATTCATAGATGTCGGTGCACTGCCTATTTATTGATCAGTTTCTTACAACGTCTCATTTCCCAAGATCATGGCTACTTTCCGCCGTTCTTTGAAGTCCTTCACTTCTACAAGGCTTCTCTCTTGTGTGAAATCATGCACTCCACTTTTGCCGACACGCGACATCTTCGCTCATTGCGGGCACGATTTCCTGACCTCTATGACTTCATACACGATCCAGGTCATCATCAACAACCGTGCGTCTACATCCGACTTTCCCCATGGCACACACCTTACTACGTTGGTGCGACTGATCAGGATGTTCTTCGACGTGAACACTCACGCAGTCGCAAATTTCTACAACTACTTCGAGGACGTCATGCCTTCTTCGAACCCGCGCTTCACTACTGGAAGCGATCCAATACTTACTGGCTCTTCTGTGCTGTTCCGGTTGAGATCAAACTTCCCGTTTCCTCGGTTTGGGTCCAAGAAAGTAAATGGCAATACTTGCTACGCCCGCATTTGAATGCACCCTGGGTACACAGACTTTTGCGAAAGGTGGGCTTCCGGGAACACCTCGTTGATTTTCGACGTCACTCGTTGTCGTCTCCCACTTCCCTCAGCTTGCACAAACGCTTTCGACGACGACTACATCCGGATCTCCAACGGCAACTACGACCCGACATGCTGGATGACATTCAGGCCCATTACTCTATTCTCTATCAGCTGGGATCCAATACAGGAGCATCGTTCCAAGCCATGCGTGACCTACTGTCGGCAGCTTTCCCTCCTACTCAGCTGTACTACCTTCTGCGGCTCTCCGTCTTTGTCAACGAGCCCTTCCGCTCCAAGGCGCAGAAACTCCTCGCCCAGGTGTTGCGCAAACGACGGCTACAAACACCCACCACTTTGACACAACTACTCCTACCGCCTCTACATGTCCGGAATTGGAAAGCTCTACTTGGCACATGGTTACAAAGCTGGATTGCTTCTCATCGGGATTTGTTCCCTTCTCTTTTCCTTCCAAAGATCCGGGTGGTGGAAACTCGCAGTGCCACGTTGGGCGACAAGATCTACAACTACCGCACATGGCAGCGCAGATGGACTCCTGAAACATCCTTTCCGTGTCGCTGTCTGGACATCGATGATCACCATATACACCGAGCACATGCTCATGCTGTAATGGTTGATGAGTTTTCTCGCATCAATGCGGACATTGACATGGAAATCATGGCCGCATCAATGAAGGATCAGTACTTCGGTGATGTCGACTTATTACATCAACGTTTCACCACGCAACTTCGCAAACTTGCTCGTCGCTGGCATGTGCGTGGTTCCAGTCTTCTTGCAGATCTGCAGCCGGTTTTGACTCAGTTAATGGACACTCATCGAGCTAACCTTCAAGATCGTGCTTATTGGTCATCGACATCGTTGCAGCGCACCGTGGCTTCTCTGTCATCGTGGGTTGTTATCCCTGCGGATCATTTCCCCTCCCGCGCACATGTGATTTGTGCGTCCCTGTTTGCCATACTGATGCGGAAGACCTTTTGCTCGGGAGATGTCTTCTCGCTTTGCCGTGAATCCGCAGCATCTTTTCGCTCTGAAGTGGTAACTACGGTACCTTCCCTCCTACGTCAACGATATGCATGGGGACTTCGACTTCAAGCACCGTTGCCCACAGCACGCATCCTCCCAAAGCCGACCAAGGACTGGCAGAAAGCACGACCCATCATTTCATTCTTTCGCACGTGGGCAGCTCCCTTCCTCACGGTCTTCGGCGCACTCATATTTGAACTTACCAAAGCTACTTTTCCCGACATTGCAGGTCAACTTTCAGTACAAGAACTTGTCCAGCAGCTGTGGGAATCGCTGTCAAAGGCAGATCCCGATGAATACATCCACCTGGTGTCGCAAGACCTGTCAG